ATAAATAGCTTTCTCTTTTACTGCTATAATTACTTTTTTTTAAGGTATATTTATTTTAATAAATATATAAATAGCTATAAATATTAATAATAATAGTTTTATTATCTTTAGCCTATTTCTATTATTTATTATTATTATTATTATAATATTATTATTATATTTAGGATCATTATTAATCTTTTATAGAGTTAAAGCTATATTCTATAAAAAGAAATTTCTTACTATAGTTTTATGCCTATAATACTTTAAGATATAATAATATAAATAATATAAAAAAAATATAAAAGTTAATAGCCCTACCTTAATTCTAGCTTAATAACTTTAAATTTTATATTTATAGGTATAAAAACTTAATTTATATTACTGCTTAATACTTACTGCTTAATACTTTAAAGTAATAGCTATTTATTTATACTTTAAGGTTAAAAATTATTATTATAACAATAATAATAATAATATATATTCTATCTTCTCTATAACCTTCTACTTTATATCTTAAGGTTAAAAACTTTAGGGCTTTTTCTACTTATATAGTAAGAGGAGGATTTATTTACTATTTATAAATATTTAATACTAGCGGTTTTTTACCTTAAGGTATAAATAGTATATATTAATAATATTAATAATAAAATAATAATAATAACCTTACCCTTTTGGCCTTTTAGCCTATTTCTTAACCCTTACCTATATCTAACCCTATCTCTAGACTACCAGCCTCTTTAAGGTATACTAATTATATAACTAAAAGAAGACTAAAAGGAAGGGTAGTTAGATACTAGAAGATAAGATAATTAATTAAGATATAGGATTTAGTTTAATAAGCCTCCTGCTATTAGCACTAACGGCAGTCCTATATAGTTCTACCACAATATTTAACGAGATACTTTAATGCTGCAGTATTAGCGTCTACCAGGTTTTAATAACATTAACGTTAATAACCCTCTAATCACAATAAGAGATTAATAGGTATTTAAATATAATTAGTATCTATATATATAAGAAAGCTTTAAATTAAAGGTGCAAAGTACTTAATACCTATTATAATAGGGCTACTATTAAATTTAGCTAATTGAGCTATTTTATTATTACTTTGCCATCTATACTGCCTGGGACTTTACTCTATATGCCTAGTGGCCTGGCAGTTAGCTCGTGTTAAACTGCAGAGAACCAATTAAAAGAGCATTTCTAGGAAATAAATGCTTTTGCCTAAAACGGAAGAGTTATATAATCAATTACCCCTCTTTCTAAGTTAACAAGTTAGACAAAGAATGTCTCAGCTAGAGAGTATTATTAATTAACACTTCAACAGCTTATTACACAGCTAAAAGATTATAAAAAGGGTTGGCTAGGCCTAAGCCTTCTAAGGTGGTGACAGATAACAGAATCTACCAGTCACCAATCCTGTCGTGTCGTCCTGACTGTTCTACCTATTGCGTCCTTAAAGAGCAACATACGTCCTGCTGTTCCATAGAGCACGGCGAAATTATTTGCAATACGCTTCATTTGCAATACGCTTCATTTGCTAATTCTTCCGAAACCACCGGACCCATGGAAGAAATCGAATACCTGCCAGAGCAGTTAGAGCAAGAACAGCGCCGACGCAAACCGGCTGAAACTCGCGAAGTCGAACAACAATCGCAACGCGAAGAGCAACGCCAGCGCCAAGCCGCTGAAGAATGTACGAGTGCGCCGCATACACTCGGACACATATCACTGGGTGTTCATAGTTACGAAGCCTCCAAAGCCTTCTACAATGTAGTGTTAGCGCCGCTTGGTCTAAAGCTCGTGTATGATAGCATGGCGACTTCATCACGGACACCACGCACACTTGGCTATGGCCCGGATCCGGACCACGAGCTTGTTAACCTTTTCGAATACAAGGATACAGCAGTGCCGGGTCTGGGATTTCACGTCGCATTTAATGCGCCGACCCGACAGGCTGTGCGGGATTTCCATAGGGCAGCAGTAGGATGTGGTGGAAAGAGCAATGGCGAGCCAGGACTGAGGATACATTATGGCATGAATTATTATGCGGCCTTTGTTACCGACCCAGATGGATGGAAGTTAGAAGCTGTTTGCAAGTCGGAGGAACAGGGAGATCGTGTACACAATTAGCGTTCGAGATTGGGACTGGGATCTATTTAATCTATATTGCTAGCCGTGATGAAATGACGCTTTTCGGATAAAAAGAGAGATCCCTGCATCATGTACTGGGATCTGTAGGCCCGTCGATAGTGACCCGGTCAAGGGTTTTCATTGCAGCCTCGTCTCCTTCAAATACGTTATGCCAAGACTCCTTGACATCAAGAACAAAAGCGATTCCTGAGTGTTGCTGAGCTTCGTAAGGCTGATCGCAGTGGCGGCTTCGATCTCAACGGTGGCCTGGAATGGCCCATGATATGCCACTATAAAGGCCAGTTTTACCCGCTCATAAATTCCCGAATTTACTTCCGTGAATCTCCTTTATGGTCCAGGTTACCTCGTCAGGTTCTTGGACGCCTTTAGACAACCAGGTCTTGCCCCAGATAATGAACCCATCTGGCAACCAGATAAACAGGTCTGATGGCAACATCGATGCTGACCTTCGCAGTGTTGGCTGTGGCCTGCGGGGCGTGTTACTTGTCGGAAAGAATTGGTGGACAACAGGAGGACTGGTCTCTGGCTTTTGGTCTTTAAACGAGATGAATATTTCCGCTTAGTTGTACCGAAGAGGTCCAGAGCCAGCTCGAAAGTCAAATTGCTTAGCTACTCTAAGTTCTGTCTGCTGATTTAAGTAAGCTCTCAACCATAAGTTTCAACTGCAAATAACACATCTTAATAACACCTAGACAAAAGATGACCAAAGGCGCACAGGATTGCGCATCGCAGCCAAACAAGCCTTTATTGATATGGTCAGAATCCTCCTTGAAAGAATGCATACAGATGATGTCTTGGGTACCGGTATCACGGGTAGCACGGCTCTGCAAAAAGCAGCTGCAAGTGGTTAAAGAGGTGTCGTCAAGTCGATACTACGAAAGGCGGCAGATAGTCATGATTTGACAGGCATCACGCGAAGTGGCTGTTTGAGACGCGGCAAGCGTGTAATAATCTAAGTGAAGAAAAAGAGAATAGTAGCGGGTCAAGATGAGAGGGTGGTTGATCAGCCAAGTTCTTGAATATTGAAATTGTCTCCTTGATCTTAAGATGACTTCTTGAGCAGTGCTAATTGGTTTGGTGCTGTTTGATAATTTATACATCATCTCAGCACGTCAGATGCTAGGATCCTTCCGTCATATTTTTTTTCTATCCATCATAGAGCCCTGCCATCATTGAGACACAAAGAAATTGAACTTGAAACGTGGCGATCTTCCAGTTTCATCTTGCGTGGCCTTTAATATGACTTTGGGGTGTAGGTTTCTCCCCAGCTTTGCAGAAACCCGTCAGTCCATCCAATTACAGCCCCTCGTACCCCATACGGCGTAAGGCGAGCAATAGACGTAACACTCTGTCCCAATTCCTTCTGGTACTCAAACACTGTTACGCTCTGATCAATCTTCTTCGGTAAGTGCTGGCACTGAAAGACTCCGACTATGATCAGAACAAGGAGAACAATATTGCCAGAGAACATCGTGAACCAGGGTCTCTTCATCTTGACGCCTCTCCATCGCGTTGTACCCCGGACAAGCGACAGGATCACCAGGTCAAAGACTTCGAAGATAAGTGACAGAGAAATGATAATGATGGACGTCGTGAGCCATGTGTACTGCTCGTAGCCTTTGAGCGTGATGCAGCCTATGCCTTGGCTTGAAGAGGCCGTGACGTTGTAGAGCTCACAACCAGACTCTACAGCAAGGGCCCTAGTGAATTGAGTACTGCACCAGTCTGCCGTAACGTTCTTGTTCTGAGACCCGATGGCAGCCATTGCAAGGCCGAATACCTGTATAACGAGCAGAAGGATCCCAAGTAGCGCAGCGATGGAAGTGATCCAAGCCCGACCTACAAGGTCCAGGCTTTCATCTACTTGCTGATCATCCGCTGCAGATCTGATTTCTCGGTGATTCTTTCCGTTGAAAGTCATAGGCAAGGCCTGCACCAGCGGTCGAAAACCACTATTCTCGATAATCAAAAACGCTAGCTGCATCATGGCCCCAATATCAAGCACGACGAATATTGGCATCCACATGAGGACTGACTCTGGATGAACGCTGTTGGTGTATGCCTGTAGTTGGAACCATACTGTGATAATGGCTAGGATAATTGATAAGGCCTGCACTCTCTCCCATCGATGGACTCTTATGAGTGTGATGAGGAAGTGGACAAGAAACCAGGCAAGGGTATATGGCCAAGGGAGGATCGATCCTGCGTCATCGGGTCTGACGTAGGACGAGAGTTCCACGCATGGCTGACTCTTTGTCCAGGACTCGTAGAAGTCTACAATCGATAGGCCCGAGGTCCGACCTGCGTTGCGTTGTCCAAACAGGAGTTTTCGTCCATATTTAGCAGGATAAATTTATTGCAAGACGAATAAAGATGTATGCGTGATGGTGAAAAATATTAAAGGCCGGTCTAGTCTTTATATTTGCTATAGACTATAGTAGCTGACCGCTTGCATATATAGTTATCTCCTTAATAAGAATCCGAGACACTTTGAGGAGGCCTCTAGTGAGTCTAGTCCCGGACACTTTGATCCGCCTTCTATCAATAGCTCTTAGCATTATGCAGGTTGCTGCTTTTTTTTTTGCAGTGAATATTGAAGACACGTTAAGCCTAGGCTATGGCATATTTTAGGTCTTTTATATATAGTATATAAATTAAAATATTAAAACGCTAGCTATTATAAGTATGCTATAAGGATCTGCCAGATAACTTAACGGTAGCAAGATCTTATTAATCCGTTTTATGCCGACACTTAAACGCAAAAGCTGATATTTTACTACAGTTAATTATTATAATCTTTATATTGTTCTAAATATATTACTAAAACCAGAGAGATGCTATCCTAAAGCACTAAAACTAAGAATCTATATATATAAATATATAATTAAGATACCTTTAGGATTAAAGTGGTTATTTATTTATTTATTTATTTATAGTAGGCTGGCTATAATAATTAAGAGTAAAGGCAATACATTAGATGCAGGCCAGCCCCTGGGCAGAGCCTTATACTGCAGTATTAGGCATACGGAGGTTCATACCAAAAGTCTTTGCCTAAGATAACTGTGGCTTATGGGCCCATTTTTGATAAGATACCAGAGGTACATCTAGCGAAATTACACTCACTAATTACAATTAAATTATAGCAATTAGAGTCAGTAATTTATTTTAATAAGCCTTCTAAATAGCCTGTAGTTATAGGGCTATTTTAGGGCATCCTCTCTGGGAGTCTCTTATCTCTTGTATATCTATGTACCTGATAGGGATTAGTGATTGTGGCGTAAGTTATTTTGGGCAAAGACTTTTGGTATGAACCTCCGTAGTTAGGTAAGGAATAGTTTATTAGGTATAGTTAATCCTGATAAGCTTACTTGTTTACTGATAAGCTTACTTGTTATTTTATACCCCTGTAACATTACTGGCCATTTTAGTTACAGTCCAATGTGTAAGCCCCACCTTAATTGTTTTTCAACTTCTCAGCGGCTAAATGTAGTTACCTGTCAATCAGGTCAAGGACAATACGCTCCGAGACGGCAATTGCGAAAGTTAATGCATTACTTGACGCCATGTTTGTTCTCCGTGGTCTTTTAACAATAGTTCCTCTGTTAATCTCTCAAAAAGTGCGACCTTCCGTTCTAGGGTGCATCGGCCAATAGACCGTTTAGGAAGCTGTGCCAAGTGTGATAGCTAAGGCCCAGTCCGGCACCTATTGCGTGATATATCCCGCCAATAAGTCAGTCTGCCAAGAAATGGGAACGGCACCTAGAAAACGTTGTATGATGGTCTTGATATGACTATAAATCGTAGCCACAGGCCATAGAATATCCCTTCTCAATATCAACTCCATCACTACTTCTCCAATCATTTCTCTCTGTGTAAACGATGGCTAGTCTCGTTCGTCTCGCTCTCTACCTGGGAGCTTTTCTGCCTGCTGCTCTTGCTGCCCCCACCGCACCCAGCAAGGGCTCAGACGTGATTCCTGGGAAATATATCGTCACCCTCAAATCTTCTGCTTCCTCTGCGAAAGTCGAGTCTCACCTTCAGTGGGTTGGTGATGTTCATCGCCGCAGCCTTTCTAAGCGTGACACTGCTGGTATCGAGCATACCTTTAACATCAAGAACTGGAATGCCTACGCTGGACAGTTCGATGAGGACACTATCAAGGAAATTGAGGCCAGTCCCGAGGTAAGCTTCAAAGATCCAACCCCAGACTGCTGCTTACAAGAGACAAGGTTGCTTTCGTCGAACCTGACAAGGTTGTGAAGCTCAGCTTCGAGGAATCTAACAAATTGTCTGATAGGGCCCTGACCACCCAGTCAGGAGCTCCTTGGGGTCTTGGAACGATCTCTCACCGCACCTCTGGTTCCACTAGCTACATCTACGATACATCTGCTGGCGAGGGCTCTTATGCCTATGTCGTCGACAGTGGTGTTTTAATCTCTCACTCGCAGTTCGGCGGCCGCGCTGTTGCCGGATATAGCATCTTTTCGGGAGCTAACACTGATACTCTTGGACACGGAACTCATGTTGCTGGCACTATTGCAGGCTCAACCTATGGTGTTGCTAAGAAGGTTAGTACGCATAGCTGTATCTGATAAGCCCATGCTAACGTCGATAGGCGAATATTGTTTCCGTCAAGGTCTTCCAGGGAGCAGAAGGAACTGATTCTGGTGTTCTCGCTGGTTTCAACTGGGCTGTCAACGATATCACCTCCAAGGGCCGCGCGGGCAAGGCCGTTATTAATCTTTCTCTGGGTATGACGGATCCTCCTGTTCCAGGAAGCACTTTCACTAACGCCTGATCTAGGCGGCGACGCATCTCAAGCTTGGGTAACTGCTATTGACGCTGCTTACAACTCAGGTGTGCTCTCTGTTGTCGCTGCCGGAAACGGTGATGAAGATGGAAACCCACTACCCGTATCGAGTCAATCCCCTGCCAACGCTGCCAACGCTATCACTGTTGCTGCTCTCACCTCTGCCTGGAGACCTACTTCATTCACAAACTACGGTATGGCTATCCCTGTCCCCTTTAATCTCAGAAATGATTGACTTAAAATTTAAAGGCGCTGGTGTCGATATCTTTGCTCCCGGCCAAGGAATTCTCTCTGCATGGATTGGCTCCAACAGCGCCACTAACTCTATCAGTGGTACATCTATGGCTTCTCCCCATGTCGCTGGTCTTGCCCTCTACCTTAAGGTTCTCGAGGGTCTTACTACACCAGCTTCTGTCGCAAGCCGAATTAAGGCCCTTGGAACCTCCGGAAAGATCACTGGTACCCTCTCTGGCAGCCCTAATCTGATTGCCTATAATGGCAACAGTGCTTGAGTCTGATAGAGTACAGTAAGGTAGCATAGCTCTGTCCAGACCATTATAAGTTCTTGGAACACCGTAGAGTGTTATTGGAATAAAGACAGGTTACACCACTTGCAACTTATCTCTCACCCTTGCCTATAAATCCAAGTCCAGAACCTTCCACAGCCCAGCCTAAGGTAATACATATTTCTAAAGAGGACCTGTGAAGTATCTACCGTAGAATGGAAAATTCCAGTTAGGGTCCAGTCAGCCAATATATCGGTCAACGATAAATCAGCCTCTTCGAGGCTAAAGAAACATCACATAAACGTGCGACAAGAGATTGTTTCAAAGGACAGTTCATCTTATTTGTTTCCATACCGCAAATCCACATCACCTGTTTCGGAACAACATTCACCAAGAACCAATTCCCTGTGCATGCCACTAATGAGCCTATCAACAAATCCACTGCCCTCAGCTAAATTGATCCCTTTGCTGTGGATCTCTGAAGAAACCTGCTCATAGTCCATAAGCCAATTACAGCCGATAAAGTTCTCAGTTTATCTAATAAACTACTTCATTGATAAATTGACCCATAGCTTTAAGCATCAATCATGACGCAAACCTGAAATCCAACCTTTTGTTTCCTTGGTCAGTTGTTGTCTTGAGATAATTAATTCCCTCCTCTCTGGTCATGCCTTCCCAGATCTTATCTCTTTTGTTATTCTCCCTAACATAATAGAGCTTAATAAAGATATAGATCAAGATATTATAACCCAAGACTCCAAGTAGCGCTTTGTTTCCAGTATAATAGTATGGCGCGTCGTTCTTGCGGTATATCTGTGAGGATATAATGCTCGACATTTGAACGCTCATGTTATAGAGCGAAGAGCCAACAGTACGAGTGCGGACAGATCCGGCATTGCGGGACGTCAAGGCCACAAGAATCGCATGAGGGTAGGGAGCGCCAACAAGAAGCGTAGACAGAGTCCATTTTGCCCATTTCCATCCTGGAAAGACGGGAGGCAAAACGGCAAGGGAAACCAGAAGTGGCAAGGACCATAGTTGGCCGATAACACCGAGAAGAACACGCTGGTTGATCCTTTCGGATACCCAGGTCCAGAACAGTAGCTGTATAATGAACAAGGTATATGCCGGGATTGTAAGAAGGTTGGTATGGAAAGTATCGAAACCAAGAGCCTTGCATGTGAGTGTGATATATGCTTGGGGAGGCGCATTAGGAATGCCCCAGGAAAGACCGATGAGATAGATAGGCCACATATGGTAGTCAGAGAGAGCTTCCCAGATCAGGCTGCCCGTTAAGCCCTGACGGTTATGCATGGTAGCCTTGCCAGGATCATCCCGAAGAACTCGCGTAACCATAATGATCTCTTCGCGTTCAGAGAACCATCCAGACCTGGGTCGAAGTAATCCTTTCCAGTCTGTTCGAGAAGTCTGTGTGGGGGATGGCGGAAGGTAGAAAAAGGTCAATATACCGATCAGTGCAGTAAATGAGCCCTCAATCACGAACAGATATCGCCATCCTTCATGGAGCCCACTATGGCCCCGGAGGTGGAGAATACCGTATGCTAAAAAGGCACCAATAATCCTGCGTGCCTTGGTATGATGTCCAGAACCAACTTAGGCGTCTAGGAAGCTCGACATTCTTGTAAAAGTACGAAAGATAAAGAATGGTGTCAGGGATGAAGCCTGGAGGTATACAAGTCAGCGGCTCATGATGCCAAATGAGGATAATACAGGCTAAGAGCGACATCCTGTTTTGATTCATAATTACCTCCTTCGAGCATTCCAAGCAACCAGCGGCAGATAAAGAAGCTGGTCTTTCCCTGAAGCGCGGCTTGTGACATTGCCACAACACTCCATAGTACCATCTGGATAGGGATCCAGACGTCTGGTCCAAGCTTTTTCCCAATGACTTGTGACGGGAGCTCTGCAAATAAGAATGAACAATAAAATATCGTCATGCCATTATTGTAGTCATTTGTCGTGAGACCGAGATCATCTGGACAGAGTTAGTGCTGGTAGGATACAACTGACTGTCGACCATGAGCTTACTTAGCATGCCATCTGAAAGAGCTTGGACGATATTGCCACGGTCCAGCTGGAGAGCAAAGAACATAATGCAGGCAGGAAGTGCGATGAACCAGTCAAGCTACCATCGGAGTTAGTATCGCTGTTCATGTAATCCATGTTACGTGAGCGACATACCCGTCTTACTAGCTTCTCCTCCTCCTGGGATTCCCACGTCGCAGAAGGCTCGAAGCGGTGGGCGCCTTCGAAGCCATCGACTATCTTGTAGATATCCACCGCTTCCGGAGCAGCAAAGACATTGTGATGGCTGTTCACAATCTCACTATGTAGGGAAGCTGTGTCAGAACCTGTTGAGTAGCCTTCGTCGACTGGTACGTGGCTGACATCTTTGCCGAACAGATGATACCACCTGTAACGCTTGACAGGCTGAGTCGTGAAATCTCCAGCGGGATGGGATTCAGCAAGGCCTTCTTTACTGGACATTATCAATGAATCTTTTGTCGAACTCTGGCTGTCTCTTGTCCAAGATAAATCAAAATACAGTAGGAAGTCTGATTTTATATATTCTAGTCTCTGCGGCCATTATCCCTCTTTCCAACAGGCCAGAGAGAGGTGAAAAGCCAAAGTGCCGTGTTATCCGAGAAGAATCTATTGCGTGATGCGATAAAGCTGAGTGATAGCATTTTAGGGGAAGTGTTGACAGGGCCAGATGTGGCTATCTTAGATAGATACATATCAAGCCTCAGATGATAAGTCTAGCTAGGGGAGGAAAGAAAACACAGGACCTCAGTCCAAAATGACAAAAATACTTAGGTAATTTAGTATAAATTTAGGATATTTTGTTAAGTTTAGGGCATATATTTACTAAGCTTAGGATGACCTTTGCTAAATTTATTTTGACACCTTACAGTAAGGGTCGCTGTTTTCTTGCCTCCCGAGGTCTAGTCAGTTACCAGTGGCGCAAAGTGGCCATGGTGCTATTAGGTGCGGGATTTGCGTGATAACTTGCGTGATTAGCACTAGTGTTTTGTTACTGCCTGCGGGGCTAGTACATTAGTGAAAAATCAGTTTCTGGCTAATGTAATAAGTAACAGCAATTAAAATGTTATAAACAGGACTCAAGGCGTCTTGTGTCTTTTTTGATGTGCACTATAAAACTTTTGCCTATCTTTTGCAGAGGACTCATAGTACCAGCCACTGGCGCTGTTAATGAGGTCTCTCCATTAGTCCCACCAAGCAGGATGACTCCCAAAATCTAGGTAGATTATCAACGCCAAAGACGAAGTCAATGTCGTTATTGAAAGACTTCTTTTAAGTAATAAACATGTTGTCAGTATATTTGCCGGCATTGAAACCTGCGTGGCGTCACTCGCGTAATTCGTTTATAGATACAGACCCTCTTGTGATAAAAGGGACTTTGTCAGTGCATATATGGATCACGGCCGAGGAAACTCTTCAGTATCGTCGCTATTCTTTCAGCTGAACCCTCCAGTCAGCTCAACACTACGGCAAGGTAGAAAAATGCCCTACGTCCCAGTCATGCACCTGTTGCCCATACTAGCCAGTGCAGTATTGGAATGAAAGCACAGTATTCGAGAATCAGGATCAAACTCCTTTCAGGCTGCTAGCTATCATCACTGCTACAGAAAGGCCTTGGACCTACCAAAGCATCATTCAGTGAGTCAAAATGTACATGCCAAGGCTCTCTGAATCTCTCAAGATAATTTGGCTGTAACTATTTTGACGCCATCGATCTAATAACTTAGTCATCGGCAGTGCTATGTTGTGAGTGCAGGTCTGTTAATGTGCATTGCTGGATGCAGCCTCAATTACCGTTCTACCTGTATCACTCATTAAAGGTGAACGCAATAGCAAATAGTTGTATCATAGAATATCTGCCAATGCTTCCAGGTATCTGCCCCCATTATGTTGTTTCCCCATGCCTACCAGGTGAAGGACTCTTCAACATAGCGAACAACAACACCATGTCTCGCCATCGCAGCACAGACATAGCGAGCTTCATCACACATTGCGTGTGGACCACAAACGATAACGGTAGTTCCACCAATGGCCCTCTCCAATTCCGTCGTCAAAACTCTTTTTATGTCCATTCGCTCACCAACTGAGACATGGGTCTCAATATGGCCCCAGTTTGAGGATTCACCACCTTCTTTTTCCTCGGCGACGTCTCCACCAGCAACCATACTCTTGACTACATCGACAAGACCCTTACTTTTGATTCCCCAATACAGCTTAGTGGTTCCCAAAGGCTTGGCGTACATTGACAGGGAAGCTCGGAGAGTTGACAGAACGCCAGCAATGCCGACACCGCCGGAGATGACGAGGGTGTTTGGGTATTCGATGTTAGGCTCGAATCGGCTTGTGTCTTCGTGACCGTAAGAAGACTCGATGAGAATGGGGATAGCGATGCCAGTGTCAGCTTTCTTGGCAAGCTTGGCCGTCATACCACGGAGGTTCTGGACGAACAGCGTGATGCCAGGTTTGGTAGTACTGCTATGATCTCGAAGCTGACGGACGTTGGACATAGCGCCGCCCATCACTTTGGAAGCTGATGCCTCAGTTGGTGAGATGGCACCCTCATTCTCAGACTGGGTATGCGAAGCCGAGCTTGGAATCATGGTCTCTCCATCAAGCTGGCCCTTGCTGCAGTTGACAATCGAGAAAGGGTGGTTCTCCCAAACGCGCCAGGACAGAGTCGGGAAGTAAGCGAAGCAGTGACCATGAGCATCAACATCTGGGATGTCAACACGCAAATACTTGTCATCAATGCGAGTGACATATGCTTTTTTGATTCCATATCTGGAGATACGCAGAATGCGGAGAAGTCTCTCAAGGCCCCAGAAGCAAAACGCGATGATGAGCCAGATCTCGAAGCCGCTTGTGTCTTCGTAGAGGAAAACAATATGATACCAAGAAGCGACCAGGGCACCGATGGTCAAGAGTATGTGCGTGATGAGAAAGACCTCATATAATATCTTTCTGATTGGAAGCATCGAGAAGGGGATCAAGGCGGAGAAGAGGACAGTGCCGACAACGCCGACGTACCAGTAGGGGTATGTCAGAACAAGAGGATACGAGTGTTGCTCGATCATAATTCGAAGCCAAAGGAGCGAGTGAAGGGCGACTTGTACGACACAGATGGTGGCAGTCCATCGATGGAGAAGAAGGAAGGTTGAGTAAGACCAGTTAGTGAGCCGAAGAAGCACGCTGCTACGGCCGGCATAGAGAATGACAATAGGGATGTTGGCGAAGGCGATGGCACCAGCCCGATTACCGATAAAACGCATTAGTGCATAATGACGATCTGGATAGACGCCGTTGGGGGTATAATTCGGGTATCCTTCGAATGTCGCCAGGCAATTGATACCAATGAGGTAGAGAATAAAGAGAGCTTGACCTCTAGTGGGAACCATGCCAATTCCAAGCGTGGCTACACTGTGCTGCCTGCCCCAAGCTGGAGGGTCTATGAAGTAGCCGTAGAACTTGCTTCTGAAGGATGTTGGCAGAGGAAGCAAGCGTAGGAGGGAGAAGCCAATGGGTACCATCACACATGCCATGAAGGCCAGAATGCTATGATTAGTCAGTAGTGGTTTGAAAGCGAGATCAAGGAGACTTACGAGTACTTGCTTTCATTCTTAGCGACGGTCTTGTATTCCCTGACGCCATTCAGCTGGCCTTGGAAGACAGCTGCATCAATCGAGATGGTACGGTTGAACAACGTTTCTTCTGGAGACATTGGTTTTGGGGTACTCGAGGCGTTGACCTGAGCCAAAGCCTCGGTGTACGACCATCGAATGGACTTGGACTCGTAAATCATCAGAGTCTCCCAGAAGGTCTCAACCTTGTAAAGTTTGACATTCTTTGGGCAATAAGAGTGGATGCAGTAGGCTATGGAGGTCAAGTACGAAGGGTCGTTGGAAAAGCATTCCGCCGATGGATATGCCTCCGCCTTCGCCTCTGCCGTCATGCCGGCGTACTCAGGGCAATCAAGATTGTAGGGCATTGCCCACGAGCACGCTTGAGCACATGGTACTGGGTAGGAATCTCGCCCATAACCTTCAAGAGGGACAGTGGCTGATGTGCTGGGGAAGAAAGAAAGTGCTGACAGCACGATTGCTAATCTCGGCATCGTAGTGGAGGACCACATGGTGGCTGGTACTCAAGGCCAAGATACAAGACAAGTAGACAGTGATGAACTGAATGACCTGAGAACCGAAAGAAATCTAAAGCGCTCGGTAGTTGATCTTTAAGTAGCATCGCGGCCCAGTATGGATAAAATACCTCTTATTCCATAAATGGTGATTCTTAACAAAAGACCCCTCAGAAGATTCCATGACTGCATTCTAGATCCGTGATCGCCGGATATCGTTCGTTTTTGATAACGGCTATTGGCTTAGTGTTAGCAGAAAGAAACCTGGGTCATGGGTTTTGTGGCTTGTTGATTAGCATCAGCTTTTGGGGGACTGGAAGGGATGGGCCGTGTTGAAGAAGTGCCTGGGACCCAGTTCGTTAGATGCAGACTTTCCCAGGGTCGGAGGGAGACCGAGAGTTTGCACTTGGTTAGTGCCGTCTCTTGTGTGTGCGGCATAGCTCCAGACTCCAGTCAACTGTACAGGACTTCAGAGCTTCGGAACGGTATCTTCAACATGTTGAAGTAGAAATATCGCTGCAATTTAATCCATCCCCATACCATATTGAATCTTGGGAGTAACAAGTGCCCGTCTTGGCAACGTGCCGACATCTCACCTCTTGGCGATATCACTTCTTGGCACCCAAGTGAAGGAACCATCAGCCCCCCAAGGAATTTTACCCCGTGTCACCATTGGTCACAGTGAGACATGGCGTTCCAGAACCCTTAATTCCGCCCACTGAGAACAACACAGTGACGCAGCGGAATTCTGCATGCAGCCAGGCAAATTTTTCGTTTAGCTGTGCCGAACTGCCGCAGCCACTGATCAGATAAAGAGAGCTATCCACGTGTTCTAGACCCAAAACGGGAACTTGGACGGATCGCGCGGGGTCCTGGCTGATTGATAAGATGGATCTGATTGATAAAGGAGGCTAGGGTAGGGCTAGCATGTGACGGACCGTGGGGCGAGCGCCATGGACAAGTGTAATCGAGAGTTTTTACTCTGATTTTAGGTAATAGTCTCTGTAGTCTTCAGCCACAAGTTCTGTCTCTTGGTTCTTGTTACGATGGTGGTTGCAGATCATCCCGGAGGCATGAAATATGACCCTACCAGAATCAACTCTTCATAGGTACTTCAACACGTTGCAGAAGTTCTCGTGAGGCAATATTACTGAAACAGGTCACCCACCTCGTTTAACAACATCTGATTTGTCTCCACTACAGCAAACCGCTAGCTCCATCAGGCTTGCATCGGGACTTCTCGACCTCGTATGAAATTTTCTGCTGCATTTCTGTGACTAACTTCCTCGCCTGTTCCAGACCCCTACCATTTCGGCTCGCGTCGCCGTTTCATTCGCGTGGGGGAACATTCTGGACCATTATGGATGAGGTGAAATAATAACTCTCACAGTATGCATAACTCTTGATCACCCTGTCATGTCTCTCCAAACTAACCGCATATCGTCAAGTTTACGTTTAGTAGCTTTTTGTCAAGCCAGAGGCTGCTGTAGAAGATTGATCTATGTGCCGAGTTCCGACATAATGAATAAGGTTATCAGATCATTTATGTCCTACTTGAGGGACAAAGTCTAACTAATGACAGTTTCTACGCTGATCATTCGGACCCTCGGGATGTTTTCTAGACGCCGTATTGGAGATACATATCCTAGATGGCGTTGCAGAATATGAGACGCTAGAGATGATTTATTTCTTGCGATTGAATCGCTCCCTTTCATGCGATATCGGCCATCTAGCTAGCTCTCCACTTCCGGGTCTTGAGAATCAACAGCCGACTTTCTCCGCCAATCCGGTACCCTAGAGGTGCGTTCGATGGTGAGAATTGATAATACACATGACCCGGGAATAACACCCAATCAATGACTTTCAAGTCCTTCAACAATGAGATCGAAACCCACTGCCCGAAGTCGGTCCACAAATGTGATGCCCAATGTGGATGGCGTCAATAGTCCAGCACCAGTAGTTCCATTCTTGTCCATCTGATTGATTGACGCTGCAGCCTCTACAGCTAGAATTGCAGCCATGTCAACCAGCGCTCCTTTGTAGCTGAACTTGGCCAACGCCACTGGTTCTTTATTGTCAGTCACATAGCCGACTGCCTTCCATTCCGCACTCTCAATCTTGCGGCTTTTGTCTCTGTCGGGTCTAGATCCTGGATCGAAAGACTTACCACGAACGAAGGATCTGAACCATGGTAATACTAGCAAGAAAATGCCCAGTTTTGTGGCGATGTGCATGAGTAGTGCAGATATATGGCCAGTGGCTGGGCTGTACTCCTTAAACACGAAGCTCTGTCCGTAAATCTTCGGATTCAAGGCTGCTGATCGTTGAACGACGGACTCATTACCCCACGCCACGAAGGATGTCGCCAGATGCCCAAGATGTTGGTCGTAGCGATGACCCAGAAATCCCTGGCTTTTCTTTACCACATGCTTGGGATCTGGCACCAAGACCGAGGTGTCAGAAGTCAGCCAGCCATTGATCCCATAAGTCTCAGCAACGTCAAGAACAGTATGCAGGGAACCACCTTGCATCCCGAGCATGTTGAGTTTCCCAGAGCATACGATTTCAGATGCTGCTGGTAGATTTTTCTCTCGTAGATGTCTAGCAATCAGCCACGACACAAGATCAGATGGAGCACTCGATCCCGAGATAGCCGGGATAATAATAGCGCCTGAACCTTTGGCCACCTCGTGAAAATCACGGATCATCTGAGCGATCCATGCAGTTTCGGTGCTAAAGTCGACGTAATGGGTGCCGTTACGGGCACATGTTTCAACGATGGGGGTGCCATGGCGGTGATATGGTCCAATACCGTTGATCAGAACTTCGGTGTCTCTGACCAGGGGATTGAGGCCCTCACCATCGAGTTGAGGGATAACGTAATTGTCCGGTTCCAGTCGATCGGGATTGATGGCCCGGAGTTCTTGGCGCAGAACTTCAAGCTTTGCGGCTGAACGACCTGCAATACACCATTTCGTATTTGTTGGGAAGGTCTTGGCAATATGCTCAGCACAGATTGTGGCGGTCCATCCTGTGGCGCCCAGGATGGTTATCTCATAGGGCCGAGTGCTCATGGTGTTCTGACGAGTACTGTCACACATCGCCGATTGAAATTTGAGGTGGATGTTGATTATATACCAGCTTTTCGACCGTTCTTCCTTTCTGTTAACGTCTCGGCGTATTTCATTTTGTCAATTACCAATCCTATAAATTGACGTTGCTTCTTTGGACCCTGCCCCATTTATCGCGCAACGCTTCCCTGTTCGAGAAGCGAATGGTAATTAGAGCGTGAATTCGGACGAAGAACGGACCAACTGAATCGAGTAAGTGCTGCGCACCACTCCAGGGGCCAAATCACTGAGCGTCATGGCAAGGACAACGTAGCTATTTGTAGAATAACTTAGTATGCCCCTATACCTCGAGACAATTTGTCAAGATCAGCATGGAAATAAACATTGAAGACATTCGCATGGGATAACGTGCTACGTCCCTAGGTACCAGGCTCAAGGAGCCCAATCATAAAGACAATCCCTTGGTTGCCAACGCTTTCCATGGTAATGGGTTCTTTCCCGCATAATCATCTACATTAACTACAACATATGATATTTCCAGGCGTTCTTTTCTCCCTACCAGAAAGTTTCCACCACATTCCACTCAAGTGCAAGCGACAGAGGTGACTCATTATAAATCCAAGCAGTATCAATTTATTCAAATAACTCCAACGATGACCCGACACACAAGCTAGTAAAAAAGGTTGAGCTAGTACAGAGTAAGAAAGAGATAGATCGATATTTCTTTCAATATAATCTCAAGACATAGATATTCCAAACTCGATATGTATGAGCAATCTTGCGGATCTACTGTCGGCGATCCATTTTTCGAGAAGAGCCATTGCTACCGTAGACTTGTTCCGGGCTGGGAAGTCTTGGTCCGTATAGGTGAGGAGGAAGAGGAGCAGACACAGAAGGCTGTTGACCATAAGGAGTCGACACGGAGGTCCTGGTAGAGCTTTGTGTGCCGTAATACGCTTGTCCGTATGCCTCACTTGGGCTAGGGATTCTGGCATCTTGAGGACGCCAAGGGGGAGAAATAGAAGCTGATGTTGGCTGACGATAAGCAGCCCCCATTCCAACACCAGAGGAGCGGCCGTATGCCTCGCTTGCGGTGGGAATACTGGTGTATTGGGGGCGTTGGGGAAGCGGAGCAGACGCAGATGATAGCTGACGGTAAGTGGTTGGCATCGATGGAGGAGTCGCAGGTTGGTCCTGGTAAGGGCCAACCTGTCCATAGGCCTCACTTGGACTGGGGATCCCCGAGCCTTCAGCTCGCCGAGGGGGAGGGACAGGGACCGACGGCGGCAGGCTAGGGACGCCTGGAGTTGCAGCAGTAGAAGAACCGTGTGTACCATACGGGGCTTGCCTTATCGGCGGAGCAGGCTTACCAGCCTTCTCGTAATGCGTATCATAGGCTTGACGGTAATGTTTTGCCTCTTTCAAAGAGCTATCCGCCAGCTTTTCATGCTGCTTTCTTGCTCTAGCATTTTTATATGCATAAGGGTGCTTATCCAAGAAGTTGTTGCGAGTACTAGCATGCCTAAGCAGGACGAACGACAGAGTTCTGTGTTAGTCTTTTTATTACCGTTGGTCAGATGGCATATCACAGGTACCTTGAATGATATAGCACTTACAAATTTGTGTCAGTGGCTGCCTGAGCTGCTGGCAAAACCAGGTCCTGGTGCTGCCTCTGCTGTAGCATCTGGTAATTGCCATTTGGGCCGATAGCTTCTTTCAAGCTTTTTTCGTACTCATCTCGTGAGGCGTTGGACTGCTCGCGCCATTGGCTGTAGGTATTGTAATCGCGCTCTGCCTGGGGAGTGGGATGTAGTCGAGTATTCACATTTTGGCCATAGATTTGTTTACGGGTATTGGTATATGACTGATACTCCTTGGTGGTAAGTTTGGTATAAGACTGAACATTGTGCTGGTTGGAAGACATGACTTGAACAAAAGAATGAGTAAAACTTGAAACAAGTTTAGCACAGTAGGGTTAATGCGCTAAAAGGTGTAATAGGACGTGATTGAGATGCTTGAAGATGCTGAATTGTTGTCGATAATTGAGTCCTTATTGTCTATTTTATATTCATCTACTCTTGTAATTTCTCTTCTCTCAAGTGAGACATTTCAACTCTGCCTATATATTCTCAAGTTCATGGAAAACCAACACCAGGTTGCATTCGTTTCGAATAGACTCCTCAGTTGAGGCTGTACTGAACCTGATCCCCATAAATTGGACCTGGCACCGCTAGGCCCGCCAATCCCGATAGATAGCGCCGTATATAGCCGCCAGCTGGAAAGCGATGGCATACACCTGAGACAAGAAGCCAGATGTTCAGACCAGGCGTTTAAGAATCACATTCTACTAAAAATAATCATTTGTTTGGTCAAGCGCCAGCCTATTAGCAGCGGCTATTGTAGGCTGGCCTTATTGTTGGTGATGTGACAAGGTTTAAGCGCCGAGCAGCACTTTGCCCCTCATCTTCACGTGACGGCTTCAACACGGAAGCATGCAATCAATTCCAGTTGCCTTGCTCACATGCTAGCTAACCCTCACCTTGTTTCGTTCTGCGAAAAATTTACGCAACCCATCACAACGAGACATACCGAACCTCCCGCCGACTCACTGTTCTTCTCAACATGTCGCTAGAAAGTCTGGCACCAGAACTGGTGTCTATCATCTTACAGAATATTGACTCACCTCGCGGTCTCCACGATCTAATTGCAGCATCGCCTGCCTGTCTACGGGTGTTCTTGCAAACCCCATATCTCATTCTTTCAGCTGTGGTGCGAAATGCATTACCAAGTGGCACGATGAAACATTATCTTGCTGCTTCACTGGCCCCTCTATCCCCTCTACGTGAGACTAGAGATGAGATCTTGTTGTTCTTGGATGAATACTTCAGTACCAATACGCCTCTTGAGTTTCCGGCAAACCAAACAGACCTTGTGTCGTTTTGCAAACTCTATCATCGAGTTGATTATCTCGTCAACATGTTTTTACATCAAATGCGTCAGCTTGGGTTTGACGATTCGATCCTGGCGCCTTCATGCTCTGAATCTACTCGACTTCACAGAGCGTTTCTACGATATGAAATTTACTGCAGCGTATTTGTGCCCAAGGAATTTGAATCATTGGAGGACCGTTATCAATTTTCGGGCGTTGAACAATTTGATCTATTCTTGAGGCGACTGATGCCATGGGAGGTTGAGGAAATGGCCTGTGTCCAGGTGTATTTTGCCCTTCTCGCGGGCGATTATGTTAGCCAACTTGAGGAGCAGCTCATCGAAGCTGTGAAGAGCACTGCTGAGCTTGTGTGGCCATCGTCCCCAGACTCAAAACCAGAAGAACAAGCCGAGAAAAAGGAAGAGGAAGGGATAGTGAGCAGGAGAGATGACATGAGGGAATTCAAGAACTTGGACCTCACCAATCTGATATTATTCTCCAAAGACGGGATATACAGTTCCCCGGATAGTATCACCCACATGACCTCTCTGGGCCTTGGGTTTATGTATGTGCTCTGTAAATCAGAGGACCGAAGATCTGAATTGATTCGTTCAAGTTCTCCGGACTACCGCGAGTTTATGCCGGAAGCACTCAGCCATTCGCCGGCATGGACACCAGAGGATCCAAATCAAGGCATCTCTACTGAAGAAACAGATTCACTGGATGATCCATTGCGTGAGAACCTAGGGTTTGTCTTATTTGGAAAGAACCACAATATGGGAACGGTATACCTTCCTATCGATCCTACGGGTTCTCATTACTCAATACTTAGGCGACTCGGGTACGTTTTTTGGGACTCGTGGAGGATACAATCTCCTGGAGTGTCTGATAGACTGAGAGCGGTTGAGAGGATGACATATGATGAAATACACGAGTTATTTAATAAGCCGTGGCGAAACGGAGCTGAGGCCAGGCTTCAGGGGGTAATGTTGCCACGAGATCAGTTTGAGAAGATCGAAAGAGAATTTGGATACATCGAAGACGCTGGAGATTTGTAGTAGATAGGGCCAAGACCATATGATAGGCTGGTGCATACTCAGCAGCTTTTGATTGTGATACTACTCCATAGCTCCTTGTGAACCACTCTTGGGGAACTACTTGTATAGAATCAACCCTTGTGAAGACATCATCATCAGTCTTATAGGGTTGATAATATAAGACGCCTCACTAGAGCGCCTCACATAACTACATCCACTGCTTATTCCCGAACTTCGAGACGAGGGCCCCACTGCTGCCTTTCTCCAAAGAGCACTCATTCATGACTTTCAAGACAGCTTTGGCCGAGTCTACAGGGGTGCTCGGGCCTGTGAAGTGCGGAGCATAATTGACAAACTTGCTCCCGAGCTTAGCCACCTTTTCTTTTTGTTCTTCAGTCACTGCGCAACGTCAGCATTATCCAGCATTATGATAGGCGCAGCTACTTACACTCTCCTTCAAAACCACTATCGACGCTTCCAGGACAGATGCTCATGAAAAGAGCTCCTTCTTTGGCGTAGCGAGCGGCGAACTTGGCGGTGAGAACGTTTGTGCCTGCTTTGCTGATGGCGTACGCAGGAGCTGGCTCGATCTCAAATTGACGGATGAAGTCGATATCGGACATGCCGGATGAGATGGCGATGACCTTCTTGGCCTGCCCTTTGAGAACAAGCGGGGTGAAGAGGTTGAAGAGATGGAAGTTACCAATCACGTTGACGTTGAATGAGTCTTGGAGATTCTTGACAAGGTGTTCTGGGTCCCTGGCTCTGTTATAGTATGAGATATCATTTCCAGAAGCCAGGTCATAGATAAATGATGGAATCGACCTACAGCACATCAACAGCATCCCATTGAGACCACAATGCGATGAGGCCTGCATTTGCAATGACGTAGTCAAGAGAACCTCCAGCGATTTCCGAGACAGACGAGACAGTACCCTATACTGTCGTTAGCTTCGGTGCGAAGCAACCTCAAGTGAGAGCTTGAACCTTTAATGCATGGTAGTCAGTAATGTCAGCCTCGAGAATGTAGACATTGTGAAGAGAACCAAGCTCTTCAGCAAGCTTTTTCTCAGCTGCGGCTTTGTTGCGGGCCAGGCCGATAATGGTGTTATCGGGGTTGCTGGAGAGTACTTGGATAAAACCGAACTACGATGAGTATGGGTTAGTTGTAGGGTAGGCTAAATAATATCAGTTAGACTTACGCCAAGGCCGCGCGATACTCCTGTTACAAGATATGAAGGCATTTTAATATATATTAATCGAGAAGGGAGATAGAAGTATAGGTTCAGTCACTGGTATTAGCAGACTTTCTTTAAAATATATAAGTTTTCCTACTAATGATCTTGCAGGACATGGTTTATTGGGGATCTTGATGATCAATCCTACAACTCTTTGATCGTTTCAATTAAACCCTCTGTAATCCCCGATATTGCGCAAAAACTACCCCATACAGCATTAAATACACAGGCTTAATTAATTCTCAACAAGCATGCACTGATAGTTCCATGTTATGGTCATTAATATAGTTTTTAGGGTTCCACTCCTGATACGACATGCAGCATACGCGCAACGCTAACGCCATTTGTCAGGTTAACTTACATCTTGAGGTCTCGTTAGAGCTCGTTAGAGCTCGTATGTCAGCACATTGTAATTACAAAGCGAAGCTAGGCAGCATTCAATGTCACATGTGGCTGAGAGCTTATTCCGTCAGACAGAACTTAGATCTAAGGTGCAACTTAAAGATAGAAGTGTACTTACATTTAATGTCTGTATTTACTTCTTCTCAAGCACAAGAATAGGTTGTCCTTCTGCCACTCTTTAATGATACTTCTTTTATACCTTAGAAACACAATCTGCCCAGTCCTCGGGTGCAGCCGGATCATGATAGTGCGGGGTATAATCGCACCGGTTGCTAGCTTGCTTGTTAAACCTTAAGCAGAGATGGCGCAGTCGACACCTATATAAAGCAGGCGCTTGGCACCTATTTATTGTCCTAGTAGAGTGCTATCAAAAGCGCTCTTGTCACCACTTGACCTCTTTGCCTCGCTGCCGTTCTAAACCAAGTGAATTATGTCACAAGCTACATATGTACTTATCACTGGTTGCAACCGGGGTATGTTCACTTGATACGTCAAATGCTGTTCACACTAATCTAACCACGTAAACTCCATTTTAGGCATTGGTAGAGGCCTCTTTGAGACATACATCACCCGTACGGACCATGTTGTCATCGCTGCTGTTCGTGATCCGACAGCCGAAAGCTCCAAGGAGTTATTGAATGTCACCAAGGGCACTAACAGCAGATGCATTTTGGTCAAGATCGATAGTGCTTCCGAGATGGACGCCCTGGAAGCCATAAAGAGTTTGAGACGAGATCACGGGATCGCGAAGCTTGATTTGGTGATTGCCAACGCCGGAATTTCCAAGTACTTTGGAACGGCAGAGATGACCCCAGTCAAGGAGATGATTGATCATTTCAGGGTCAACTCCGTGGCACCACTGCTGTTGTTCCAAGCAACCTACCCCCTCATCCACGCTGCGAAAGCCTCAAAGTTTGTGACTATCTCTTCAGGAGCTGGAAGCCTTGGGTTTATGGAAAATCTGAAGGTTGAAAATACTGCATATGGGTCTTCTAAAGCAGCCCTCAATTTCATCACAAGGAGGATACACTTCGAGAATCCGGATCTCGTGGCCTTCAGCATCAATCCTGGATGGCTTCAAACTGACGTAAGCAAACATCTACACCTAGTCCGTAGAGACTCTCATTATGTCTTGATCTGACTGATACTAGCTTGGAAATCATGCTGCACAGAGCTCAGGATTATCGGCAGCTCCTGTTTCTATGCAGGATGGTGTAAATGGAATAGTCAGTGTTATAGATGGCGCAACAAAGGACGCAACATCAGGTAGATTCCTTTCGTGGGAAAACAAAGAGCTGCCTTGGTGATTTGCATAATGCACAGGGATACAGATGAAATAACCCCTGGCACCAGAATTTGATTTGATATACTAAAAACTGCCCGAAAAATGCTGTTGTTGAGTTCAGAGAAGAGACTTGACTGAATCGATGATTGTGTTCTCATACGGTATCCAGTCGATCCCAAGAATTGTGTTTACCCGAGTGACATCAAAACCGAAGGAATCGAGAGCTGGGTTTGGATCGCCTCCCTTACTGGCCTCTTCCGGTAGCCTGTCCCGCAAATCTGCAAAGTTCTCGTACAGAATGCGATATAACTCCTGGTTACTGTAGTATCCGGCAGTTACAAAGATACGCTTGTTTGCTGCCTCTTGCGTCTCTACGGCCTTGACATGGGCCAATGCTACGTCACGGACGTCGATCCAGAGTGGTAGCTGAGTTGGAGGCAGGCCGCTCTTATGCTTCCCATTGAGAATGTCTGCCAATAGCTGGTTGGAAGTGTTGACGGAGTCGAGGGACTTGACTGGGTACTTGACTGGACCATAGACCATTGGAGGACATATTGTTGTAAGAGAGAAATGGGGTTTCTTGTCGGCCATGAAATCCCAAGCAGCCTTCTCAGCAAGTGCTTTTGATGCAGCATAAGCAAGTCCCGGGTTGGAGTAAGCATCTTCCATAGTAAGAGGACTCCAATCGGCCTCAGTGTACGTCTTCTTCGCACCAGTGAGCGATAGCTTAGGGTCCAGTATAGCAGCAAACGATGATGTCAGCGCGACTCGCCGAACGGCGGGACAATTCTTTTGCAGTGCATCAAGTACTGAGGTTGTGCCAAGGACAGCTGGATCGATCAGATCCTTTTTGGCGTCTGTGATATTGTAGTGAAACTAGATCAAACGCGTTAGTTTTGGAAACTTGAGCAGTAGTTATGAACCCGCCATTCACTCACCGGACTTGCAACGTGGACGGCCGCTTCGAGGCCATATGCACCCAAGCCCTGGAAGGCATCCTTGGCAGCGATGTCGGGAACGATAGCAAAGTCGAGCTTCTCCTCGCCAACGCCTTGAAACTCATGGCGGATTGACTGGGCCTTTTGCTCTGAGCGAACAGTAGTCACGACGCTATGGCCTCGCTGAAGGAGGGCATCGATCACATGTCCAGCGACGAATCCTGTGCCACCTACACCGAGCGTTAACTACAACAACAGTTTAGATGCATACTAATGAGATATACCTGTAACAAGAACCCGAGTCATTGTGAGTGATATAAGATGGGATAACGTTATACCTTGGTGATAATTGAAGGATATGATGATTGTACTTCAGGCTTGCTGCAAGGTTTGTCGGACTTAAATAGCTGCTACGATGCATTATTGAATCATGACTCTAGACCCAGTTCGGCCTTCGGTTTGCAGGAAAGGCCGAGATGGACGATCCTTTTTAGGTTTGAATATAAATAAGCTTTTCCAACTTGCAACTAACCTCAACGAGATGACGCTCGGTCCGATTAATTTAGTGACCTCCGACTTGTTTACGAATACTCGTATCAGATGGACTTAAACCTAATGTCCGGACTCATGTAATACGTTTGCAGACTATCTTACGCCGCTGTTGCATAGCATCCTGCCATGGACCAAATAGTCCAGTAGTCCATGTCCATTCTCTTCTTCGATAATTCGAGGACATCCCTTGCTATCCGCATGTTTCCTTTTTCTGCTATCCACTCTAGTACTCTCCATATCCATGCCTGCACGCAATTCTCGGTTGACATTTGAGCAGCCTGATACAGAGGTGCCATTAGTACCCTGCACTCAAGCTTCTGCATCTGCGTGAAAGGCTCAGAATTCTCTCGCCCGGCTTTTGGCATGATGTAATGCGTAACAGAGCGACATATCTGCTTGGCGATCTTGTTAATCACTTCACCATTCCGCTCGTAGCACCTATCCCTTATCAATCCTTCCATCTCTAAACGCATCATGCGTACAGCATTGTGCAGCTGCATTGTAAAGTGGTTCGGGTAAGCATCGTATTCTCCGTCCAAGGCTTGCCAATCTCTCAAGATGACGGCAAAAGGCCCACAAGACCTTTCCAATGAATCTGCAAGGTATTCGAGCCTGCATTTAATGCTGAACAACCGTTCTTTTGTCTCGCTGTCGTCAACAATTATTGCTTTGGCCAACATGGCCCTCAAGTTGACAATATCCACTAGTATTCCCATGTAATCCCATTTACTATCGATGATCAGCCCAGAAAGATCCCTCCAGAGGGCGACCTGCGAGTCAGAGATAAAAGTTTTGATCATTCCACAACTAATTATAAAGTGCGATAGAATGTTCCTGGCAATCTGAGTTGACAAAGCACTTGTAAAGTTCAACTTTCCCCGCGACTCGATGATTGACATTGCCCCTCGAATATGGGTCATTGAGGACCCTGGCATGCCAAGGCTTGGTGCTGCTAGCTTTTCAAATATGTCGAGAAGTAGTATTGACTGCAAAATTTCATCACCGATCAACACGTTCGGCTCGCAAAGTGAATGCCTTAAACTCCCTATGGCGGCCGAGTATCTGTTAAAGGCGGTTCTGACTAGCTCCTGGCTGTCGAACTGAACTGCCGAAAACGCAAGGCCGACTGCATTCACACTGTATGCCAGATGCTTCGAGATCGGTGCCTGGTTGTATAGTGGTGGGAGAGAGGAGCAACTCCGTGATAGGCCGGTAACATAAAGCAGGAAGAACGTATCTCTGCACCTTGCCTCGACGTCCAGGTCTAGGTCAAGCATCGGCGAAGGCAACGTAATGAGCTGATAAGCATGCCCTTGGCGAGCCGCCACTTTTTGTCTGGCTACACGTGTCTGGTCACGGAACGCTAGGTCCTTAACATTCCGGTAGCCGTGGCATGAGATGTTGGCCCGGCGGCACTGGCCACAGGATTCAGGTTTCAGGTCGCACTTAGGGTCACATGTCAGCCACTCTTATTACTTTACAGAACTGAAATGACCAATGGGCATACTCGGAGCTTCCGTCGTCTGCAGGGCAGACAGTCCATTGAGGGTCGGCCAGTGTTGACCATGTTGGACGACTACGCATCCCCCACCGTGTGCTTCTTTCGAGGTTGGTGCCAGGAAAGAATCCTTGAGGTGAACCAGTCGATTGCAGTAGGAGAGACAGAAAGAGGTGTTATGTCCGTATGAAGCGAACCGTAGGGGATGGGAAGAGGCACCAAAGAAGAAGAGGAGGAAGAAGTCAGTCTCTGGTCGAGATTATCCCATATTTCTGGAGTCTGCGTGTCAAGACAAGGTTATCGCCCAATGGTAACCGCTAGAGGCTTAGCCTGTGGAGCGCAAGTAATACTCTTGGCGTACTCCGGATGGCTAGCCACAAGAGGTTAATGAGATCGGCACAGGCCAAACTCAATCTTCTCATCTCTAAATGTGCTTGATAGTGTCCAAGACACGACAGGGTTGTTTGCTCGAGAGGAAATGGTTGAGGATTTGGACTCGTATGTCATTCATGAATATTTTACCTTCACCGCCATTGCAGGTTGGTTCGTTCAAGTGGCAAGTATAATTTCTGAATTGTGATCTGACTCGCAAGCTATTTAATATCGCCACGGCTTAAACCTTCTGGATAGCCTGTAACAACACCTTGCCGATGACCCCAGCGCTCGGAGGATTCTGTCCCGTAATCAAGTTCTCGCTCTTACCGCTAGTGACCACCTTGACGCCAAAGAGCTGATCTGCCTTCTCATACTGCCCGCCGTGTTCCTTCAGCTTGTCTTCGAGCAGGAACGGCATTGCATCAGTGAACTTGTAAGCGTCCTCTTCGGCATTGGAGAATCCCGTGACTGTCTGTCCCTGAACCATGTAGCTTCCGTCCGACAGCTTGACGTTGACCAGGGCTGCTGGCCCGTGGCAAACGGCGGAGACCAACTTGTTTGATTCGTAAAATTCACGAATTAGGGCGTGAGGCGTGGGGTCCACGGCGAGATCGAACATGGCTAGCACAAACTGTAAGTAAATCAAGGTGCGGTAATTGAAATGGATTTGCGTACGTCCATGACCTCCGACGAAAAATATTCCGACGTACTCGGAAGACTTGCCAAGGAAGCTTTCGAGCTTCCGGGTATTCTTCCAGATATGCTCTTTCTCCTTCAAAAATCTCTGGCAACCTTGATCATTCTTAGAGTTCTCAATGGAGTACGGGTCAACAGGAGCTTCCCCTCCCTTAGGAGAAGCCACAACGAGATCGACGTGGCCATTCAAGTCGTTGTATGGGTGGACCAGCTCAGGAAGATACCACCCTGTTTTCATGTTGGACCGCGTGGGAAGGACATCTTGCGATGTAAGGACAACCAAAAGCTTCTGTCCTGTTGACATGGTGAGGGATGAAAACAGAAAAGTAACTGCTCAGGACGTTTGCTGCTATGAGATTGGTAGTTAAGATGGAATCCCCAGAGGCCGAGGACGCTCTCACATATGTGTTGCTAGCTCAAAATACTTTTGCCGTGTGAAGTAGTACGTTTTGGAGGGCTAGTAAGCTGTGCCAACTGACAATTCCACGCCACTTATCTCGCTAGTTGCTTGAGCCGTGATTTGTAAGACTGTCTGATCAAAGTGGACCACATCAAACTTTAAGTCTGATGATGACAAGTATACCCGATAACACCGTCGGTGAGACATGCTAGGCCACCACCAGCCCTAATTACTCTAGCATAAAGACCTACTAGCCTGCCATCAGTGTTCTCCCTAATCTGTGTCACCATTAACTCTACTCATGTAAAAAACACTAAGACTTTCTTCACTCCAAGCCACATTCAAAATCACCTTCACCATGACCTTCACTGTTACCGTCCTCTTTCCCAATGAGCCGGATGCCAAATACGATTTTGAATACTATGTATCAAAGCACATGCCTCTTATCCAAGAACGATGGGGTAAATATGGTGTAAAAGGCTGGTCGGCTACACAATTCACAAATGGCCTAGACGGTTCACCCGGCCCCTACGCGTTTGGATCCATTGTCGAATGGGAGGATCAAAGCCAGGTCAAGATTGCTTTCGCAGGGCCTGAGGTCGCAGAGATAATGGGGGACGTGGTCAATTTTAGCAACAATGAGGCAGTTTTCCTTCTGGGCAAAGTCATGGTCTGAGTTACGCCCAAAGTAATGGCTCTATATAGCGTACAGCTAGATTTTGGAAGAGACACCTCTGTACCAAAGACATTTCAACCTTAAAACAAACCCTATTGATGGCCTAGATCCTTCAGGATAAACGGCCTGGCCTTGCTTATAACATAGTACCATCAACGCCGATTAATTCAGTACGTACCGAACACCTGAGAAATAGTAATACTGTACAGATCAGCGACAAATGCAGCATCCCTTATGAAGGCTTTACCATAGCTCATTAGCTAGATGTAAGACCTGTTCACCATTCCATAAAGCACCCAGAGACGGATATCTCGCCCTAAGGCTGTTCTTCACCATGCTCCTTACAAGGCACGCATTCTGGAGTGCAGTAACAATCCGAGTAGATATCATCGGCATTTTCTGATCCGTTAGGGCATCGGGTCTCGTTGAAGAGTACGTGACCCCTCCCGTTGCAGTGAGCCTGGCAATGGTGGGCTATAACGTAGGTATCGGCATGGCATCGTACAGCGTAGAAGATTTGCTCTGCTGAGTCGACATTGCCTTTACTATCTTTGATTGGGGTAACGGGCAAACCGGCCACTATGCTGCCAGGAACACTTCCCAGAATAGCAAGTATGAGGATTACATTCTGACGGTCGCGAATTCCGAACATGTTGAAGAAATTGGTTCTAGCAATACGTTAATCAGCTGAATCTTTCAGACCAGGGGATCTTACCAAGGGTTGATCTATAGATAAGAACTTGTATGAGATGCTTGTGTTTTGATATGGTGGTTACTGCCTCTTTTATAAACATGTTTTGAGTCGGCTCTCTGCTAAGAGAATAAGAACTGTTCTTGTTCTTTGGCCGCAAAGAAGGAGGAGACTGTGACTTGATGGTTATCTTACATGCCGATAGATCCGAGACAAAGGTCGTAAAAGAACAGCTAATGGTTTTTGTTTGTTGGTTGTTGGTTGACGACAAATAGAACCCAGTATCTAGCCGAAAAGCCGGTTGAGGATGTGCCTTCCGGGTAGCCTCATAGTTTCAAGTTGCATGCCGACCGATCCGGGGTAAAGCTCGTAAGAGAACAGCTCATGTGAAAACCCGGGGTCAGACATGATCTGTTGTTGGTTGTTGCTTGCTAGGAATTGTCCGAACAGCAAGTTGTGTTGGTAATTCCTAGTATCTTGGCGCGGTTTCCCTCAACTCAAGCAACCCTAAAGACAATTTGGCCCACCTTTCGCTATCTTACATCTAGTAATCTAAGGTCTCTCAAAACCTTACTCTTAGACTTCTTTTGGTGCAATCCGCTAGTTATTACAGATTGATATAATAGCATAAGTGTATTTTAAAATGTATTATTAGAATCAAGCCTGGCCCACATAGACCCTTCTTATCTTACCTTTCGGCAAAAGCTTGCCGGTATGCATAAGACTAACGACCAACAAAAGTGTATATCAGTCATTAAAGCTTATTTTGTCGTTAGCTCAATGCATAGTGGCATGTTCGAAGCGATGGAGACAGAAGTTCCTCAGCTTGGACAAGTGATAAGTTCTGTTGGTTGTTGGCGCTTTGCATTACTCGATTTAACAGAAATAGGCTATTAGATGCATACGCCGCCTTGGATAAGATAATTGTGACAAGAGGTGGTTTTGCAGCGCCGAGGTGTGTGGAACACGAGGTCATGCACTGCCATTTCAGGACTAATGACAATCTCTTTGCGGGATTAATGCCATTGGCTGGTCCTAAACTGATCGTTATGCTATCAATTTGTGAATAAATACATATCTATTCCCATACCGCTGTTATCCTGGAGTAAAACCCCAATATCAATTTATCTATTATCTTATTGAAGAAAGCCGAGCGATATGGCAAACCAAAACAGAGTTATCTATACCGTTGACCCCTCTACCAGTCCGGCTTCATGGCCACCTGGACAAGCTCCAGAATTTGGCATGATAATCTACAGAGTCGAGGTTATCTACATCAATCTGCAGGGGGACTCAGACTTTCGAACACTTCGAACCGGAACCAACGAGCATATACACCATGCAGTTATACAGGTCACTAAGCATATAGCGAGAGGCCTGTACCGGATTGTCAGCATGAATGTTAGCGAATATCAATGTATAGTAGTTATGGAAACTGAGAAATCAACTGAAAATCTTATGGCCAACGGCTTCCCCTGGGATAGGGATGATCAACACTTGCCAAATGTTGTTCTGCAATAGGCAGGTGAGCCCATAAAGCCGCCCTATTATTGGAGAAATTCTATTTTGTACGGTGGTTTATCTTGACATGAATTTGATTACAAAACCGCTTGAGTCTCCCAGAACACGGAGATGATGACTTGGAGATTGAGTGGACAGATTAATGCTCCCTTGTGGCGGTTTATAATACGATGTTGGGGTTCCACCACTGTCAGGACATGCGCGCAACGCTAGCCTCATCCGTTACCATGCTTAGAATTTACTCTTGTCTTTTCCTTCTATGTTATAAGATATCGCGATTATAAATCTAAGCTGCGTAATAAAAAGCAATGCGAGATTTATAATATTTTATAAATCGTCTTATTAGGGCACATATATACCAGTTAATTGTGTAGCAATTCTTAATATTACGGCAATTTATCCCCTTCTTTCTACCTCCTTACTCAAGCTGCCAAGATGCGCATCTCTGAACCTGCAATTCCGTTTGGGTCTACCGTTGTAGTCATCGGCGCTAATGGCTACATGGGGGTTGAGACTTGTGAGAAACTCCTCCAGGCAGGCTTCTCTGTCCGAGGAACTGTGAGAGACGTCGAAAAGAATCGACAATGGATGCATAAGCTATTTGATACCAAGTGGCCAGGCATGTTTGAGCTGGTTCACGTGGTCGACTTTGAAGCTGAAGGGGCATTTGACGCGGCCTTCAAAGGTGAGAGGGCGCCGTTCTGTGCTATTTCGCGGGCGGAGCTGACTACGGGGTCACAGGCGCCGAGGGCGTTATCTATGTTTCAACACCGATCATACTGAATGCAGATCCTGCAAGGGTGGTAGATCCAGTGGTCAAAGGTACTATCAACAGTCTCGAAGCTGCAGCTCGCGCTGGAGTGAAGCGCTACGTCCTCAGTTCAAGCTCCAAGGCAGTTGAGTCTACTAATTACAACCACCCACACCATATTACGTCAAGCATGTTCAACTACGACGCCATCAGGAAGGCGTGCTCTGAGCCGAATGTCGAGGGTCTCGACAGATTTGTCGACGTCTATAGTGCCAGTCGAGCTTTGGCGGAATTGGCCTTCTGGTCGTGGGTTGGCACGAACCAGCCTCCCTTTGTCGCAAACTGTGTCGTACCTGATGGACAGTTTGGAAGGGCCTTGGATCCAGAAAACACTAGTTCTACATTCCGCATGTTGAAAGCGGCGGCTGAAGGAGAATGGGACAAGGTATTTGGTCAAGTCGGTAAGCACTCTATCTTCACACGTCATTGCAAGTGATTAAGATTGACGCATCTCACAGCATACTACACTGACGTCCAGGATGCAGCACGTCTGTTGTTTGCGGCGGTAGCTCTTCCTTCTATTGTGAAGGAGCGAATATTTTCGTACTGTCACAATTCAACATGGAATGAGCTACGGTACAAGATTCGACTTACCTCGCTAAAGGGAGAGAGGTTGGTGAAGGGCAAAGACCAGGAAGTAGAAGGGAGGGATCTCTCTAATGCAGGTGCGCTTATAAAACGAGCTGAGGATATCTTGCGAAAGATTGGTCAGCAAGGCTTTGCGAGCGAGGAGGATATCTTGCGTGACTTCTTGGATTCCCTCTGAAAGTTACATATCCTTTTAAATGCCAGTCATTACCGATATAGATCGAACCCTATTAAATATAGAGTGAGGATAAAAGCAAATCAGAGCAGCGATTCATAGTCATCTACTCTTTGCAGCGACAATTTCTTCAGCACAAGTCCTGTACAGGGGCAACATATTAGTGAACCTAGGAGCGATTCTGAATAGACTGTTGATTGAGAGATCGGCAATCCGGGGCTAACTCAACTCTAATAATATCCGGTTTTGAAGTGCCGAATTGGGAAAATCGTCACTGGTGACACTGTATATCGTAAGCCAAGCCCTGGGTACTGGCCCGGAGCATTTCTTCCCGATATAGTGGACTTCAAACCACGGCACATCCAATCGCAATAGATATTCAAGGCAGTTCCCGCGTCTTGGCTCATTGAGATGAGCACAAGAAATAAGTTTAGTGGTTGAGATGTCATTGTGAGGCTGAAACTCTGATCCATGACGACGGTGACGGATTGGCCATGTCAGGGCTAGGAATGTGATGCCTTGACTCGTGTGACATTATGACGTCTCTCATAAATTACGAAAATTATAACTAAGTAGCAATCGACAGGCAAAAGATTCTATCTCATCTATTTCCGAGTCTCAACACATATTCTTGTCAACTAAGTAGCCCGTTCCAACACTATTGCTTCAACAAATTCACAATTCACCACGTCACGATGGCTCATTACAATAATCGCGCTGCTCCCACCGACTACGGCACCACTTACGATCGCGGTCACGAAACAGGTTTATTGACTCGCTGGGTCCCAGACAGAATCAAACATTCCCGCCTTTATCGTTGGTTCCTTCGCCTTACACGCGTTATGCAATTCCTCTCTGCCGTTATATCCCTTGGTCTATTCTCAGCCCGTCTTCGCAAGGTCTACAATCTCGTCAATGCGGTCAAGACACGTCGTGGCGTCAACACTTCCTATGGCGCTGTTGAAGGCATCCTGGCAGCCGCTGTTTTGTACACGCTCATCGCTATGCTGATCTCGCTGCTGCTCAAGGGTGGTGGTCCGAGATGGCTTCGCTGGCTTTGGGTCCTGTTCGACATTGCTTTCGTCGGAGCTTTCATAGCCGTCTCTGTTCTTACCCGCCCCAATGGCGGCATGGCTGGTCCTCGTCATTGCTACAAGACTGAAGGTTTCTCAAGTACCTTTGGAAACAATGCGGACTCGTCAGATGATAGTTGTAACCTGCCGTGGGGTACATTCATCCTCGCCATTATCAGCACGTAGGTGTTATAAATAAACCTTCACTGTTCAATAGCTGACTCCTACAGTATCCTCCATGCTATCACTGCGGCATTCCACGAAGTCCATGACCGGTACAAGGAACACCGCGTCAAGGAGCAACATGTCAAGGAAGTTCATGTTGACAGAGACAGAACAGCCGCTTACTAGAGCCATATCTTTCACATAGGTGCATACTTAAGATGGCTTTGATGTTGTAGATTAGTAGAAATGGGTGTATAATTAGTGCCCCGGGGGGTAACCGAAAGCTTGAATTATAGTTAATAAATTACGTTCCAGGCATCCTAATTGAAGCGCCTCTTGTGAATCTCAACTTCGCATTCCACGGCTTTGTTGAAGAAACCTTCTCTAACCACTGTGGGCTCAGGGTTTATTCTCCTGACATCGAATAGCTTGAAGACAACTGCTACTGCCTTCAAGATCTCCATCCAGGCAAAGCTTTCAGCTATTAGTATGCAAAACGTTGGTGGGTCATGTGTGACTAACTTTCTTCCGATGCATGACCTTGGACCAGTGGAAAATGGGTAAAAGTAGTCCATGAGCTTATCTGCACCTGGCTGAAGCCATCGCTCTGGTCTGAATGTCTTGGGTG